ATAGGCAAATCCATAGAGATAGAAAGCAGATTGTCAGGGGCTGGCGATAGGAGGCTAGCGAGTGATTGCTTAATGGATATGGGGTCTTCTTCTAGAGCGATGAAAAAGTTTTGAAACTAAAAAGAGGTGGTTGTACAACATCATGAATACACTAAATTTCACTGAAATATACAGTTTAAAATGGTTAATTTTATGTTGTGTGAATTTCACCTCAGAAAACAGAAAACTACCATGAAACTAAAAAGGCAAAAAAAAAAGTTAACCCCCCTGTATTCCTCGTGACCAGAGATGAACACTGTTACCACTTTGTTGTGCTGAATTTCCTTCCAGACTTTTTTTTAATGTGTACTAAATGCACTGATTTGTAAAACATGTTATTTTATTTAATAGACCATCCATCTTCAAGATTTAAAACATAGCACACAATGGTGATGGAAATTGTCTGTATCTTGACTGTATCAGTGTTAATATCCTGGTTGCGATATTGTATTATATGTCTGCAAAATGTTATCTTTGGGGGTGGGAGCACTAAAGTCAGTTTCATTATAAAATATAAAATATGAAACATATTGGAAAATAACATTTTTCCATATTTTAAAATTTAATTTTTTGAATAGGTGATACAATCACAAGGTTCAGAAAATTTTAAGTAAAGAGTCATAATAAGTTTCGTCCTTATTTATCATCTCTGCAATCCACCCTGCCTTATCCCCTATGGGGTCACTGTTTTTAGTGTCCCGTGTATCCTTCCACACTTTCTCTAGGCGTATACAAGTAAATTGTAATACAGATTTATATTCCCCATTAGTACAAAAGATAGCATAAAATCACAGTTTTGTACTTTTCTTTTTTCTTTCACAGTGTATGTATATTGGGGAATTGGGGAGCTTTCCATATATGAACACAGAGAAATACCTCTCTCTGTCTCTCTGTCTCTCTCCACCTCCCTCTCTCTCTCTCTCTCTCTCTCTCTCTCTCTCGTGCTGCATAGTATTCCAACGTATGGTTACACCATAATTTTTGCCCCCAAATGTTGCCTATCACTAAGGCATTGGTTAATCAACTAATTAATTGCTTAATAAATAAATTATGGGGGCTTCCCTGGTGGCGTAGTGGTTGAGAGTCCACCTGCCGATGCAGGGGACACGGGTTCGTGCCCCGGTCCGGGAAGATCCCACATGCCGTGGAGCGGCTGGGCCCGTGAGCCATGGCCACTGAGCCTGCGCGTCAGGAGCCTGTGCTCCACAACGGGAGAGGCCACAACAGTGAGAGGCCCGCGTACCGCAAAAAAAAAACAACAAAAAATTAAATTATGGTATAGTTGGAAGGACACTGGGAGAGAAGCCCGGTGGCAGAGCACCTTCCCCCAGGAAGCAGTGGCAGAAGACATGGGGGCTGCCAGCAGAGGCTTGCCTAGAGGGTGAATAGTAGAGCCCACCAGGTAGAGGAACGCATGAGCCATCCTCCAAAAATAGTGAAGGTGACCCCACTGCTGGCAGGAACACATTGCTTCTAGAAGCAGTGAGGGTGACACTGAGGTTCTCTCCCAACACACACTTCTCGCTCAGTCTTGTGACTCAGCCCCCCTACTGCTCCCTTCCAATATTTCTGCATCAAAGCCTTCCCTTTAAGAATCAGAGGGTCCCATTGACTAAATCCTCCCTTTCTGAGGCCACCTTATCCATGCTTCAGTAGCCATAAGTTGATGACTCCCAAATGTACGTCTCTAGTCTAGACTTCTCTTCTGAACTTCAGAGTTGCACATCCAGCTGCCTTCTTGCATCTCCACTTGGAGGTCTCAAAAGCATCACCAATTCTTCATTTCCAAGATATGACTCACGTTACATCTTCCCATATCTGGCCTTCTTCCAAGTGCTCCTTCTCTCAGAGAATGGCATCTCCATCCAACTGCACAAGCTACAAACCTAAGACATCTTCAGTACCTCCTTTTCCTGCATTTCCCCATATCCAGTCTGCCCAAATATCCTCTGGATGTGGCCCCTTCCATCTCCACTGCTCATTCTAATACAAGTAACCACAGGTTACCACAATCTCTTAACTGGTACGTTGCAGCCAAAGTGTTTCTTTTTTTTTTTTAAACTTGAAATCTCATGTTGTCACTTGCTTAAACCCTTTAGTAACTTTCCATTGCTTTTAAAATTGAACAGAATTCCTAGCATGGCCTTTAAGGTCCTACATGGTCAGACCCTGCCTATTTCCTCCATTCTTACCTTGCACCACACACCTGCCGGCTCTTGGGCCTCTCCTACTGCAAGGTCATGCTCCCTCCTGCCATAGACCTTTTGCTCACACTTTTCCTTCTGTCTGTATCATTAACTTCTATTCAGTCTTTAAAGCACAACTCATAGAAGTCTTCTGCTGACCTTCTGCTTTGGTCAGCTTTCTTTTCTTCATTGCTGTGATCTCCTTTTGTTTTATATATATATATATATTCCTTTGAGCGTTTCCAACATTTGATCAACATCTGTCTCCTCCACTAGGCTGTAAGCAACCTGAGTCTAGGGACTGCCTGTTTTTGCTTATCATTGTCACACAGAAATTAAATTTTGAATAAATGAACGACTGCTCGTGGCATAGCAATGCACCCTTACCATCTCCTTGGAGACACAGCCCTATCTCTTGCTGCCTGGGGATGCTGCAGAAGAAGAAGCATCCACCAGCCAGGAGCTTGTGCTTTGGAGTCAGGGAGATCTGGGCCTGTTTTGGCGCTGCCATTTACCAGCTGTGGATTCTTGAGCAAGTCCCTTTATCTCTCCGAACTTAAGTTTCCCAGTCTCTACAAGAGGGTTACCACTTACCTCATAAGGTTGTTGTTGTTGTTTTAGTCACACCCAGTACATTTAATATATATTTTTTAAAGAATCATCTTGGGGACTTCTGTGGTGGTCCAGTGGTTAAGACTCCGTGCTCCCAATGCAGAGGCCCAGGTTCAATCCCTGGTCAGGGAACTAAGATCCCACATACCACAACTAAGCCCGCGCGCCACAACCAGAGAAGCCCACGCACCGCAACGAAGAGCCCTCACGCTGCCACAACAGACCCATTGCAGCCAAAATAAATAAATAAATAAATTTATTTATTAAAATAAAAAGTCATCGTGGGGACAATTAGAAACTTGGAAAATGGACAGCGTATTAGATGATTCTTTTTTTTTTTTTTTTTGGCCACACCGCATGCATGCCTGATCTTAGTTCCTTGACCAGGGATCGAACCTGTGCCCCCTGCATTGGAAGCACGGAGTCTTAACCTCTGGACCACCAGGGAAGTCCCCACAATGACTTTTTTTAGTGTTTCTTTTTTGAATCTAGGATCCAATCAAAGTTCACCCATTGCATTTAGATGTCATACCTCTTTAGTCTCCTTTAATTTAAAGCACTTCACCTTACTTTTTAAATCTTTTGTCTGTCATGATGTTGACATTTTTGAAGAGTCCAGGCCCATTGTCTGGTAGAATGTCCTCTGTTCAGCGTTTGCTGCCTCCTGTTTAGATTCAGGTGAGACATTTTTGGTGAGAGGACCGCATCAACGAGGATGTGTACTTCTCCATACTCTCCACCGGGGGGCATACAGTACCATTTTGTCCCAGGATTGGTGATGCTAAATTCAATCACTTGGTTAAGGTGGTGTTACCTAACAGAGCTGTGATGGGGGATTAAATGAAGGAATGTACCTAAGGGGTCTGGTCCATAAACCTTAGTTCTTCCGCATTCCCCTTCAGCCTTCACTTTGCGGCAGATGCACAACATTCTTTTTTTTTTTAAGATTTTTTGATGTGGACCATTTTTAAAGTCTTTATTGAATTTGTTACAGTAATGCTTCTAGGGGCTTTCCTGGTGGCTCAGTGGTTAAGAATCCACCTGCCAATGCAGGGGACATGGGTTTGAGCCCTGGTCTGGGGAAGATCCCACATGCCGCGGAGCAGCTAAGCCCATGCGCCACAACTACTGAGCCTGTGCTCTAGAGCCCACGAGCCACAACTACTGAGCCCATGAGCCACAACTACTGGAGCCTGCGTGCCTAGAGCCTGTGGTCTGCAGCAAGAGAAGCCACCACAGTGAGAAGCCCGTGTACCACAATGAAGAATAACCCCTGCTCGCTGCAATTAGAGAAAGCCCTCGTGCAGCAATGAAGACCCAACACAGCCAAACAAATAAATAATAAATAAATAAATAAATAAATTCTTTAAAAAAATAATAATGCTTCTGTTTTAGGTTTTAGTTTCTTGGCCCTGAGGCATGTGGGATCTTAGCTCCCTGACCAGGGATCAAACCCACACCCCCTGCATTGGAAGGTGAAGTCTTAACCACTGGACTGCCAGGGAAGTCCCAAGGTACGCAACATTCTTGACTACACTTTCTCACCACAAGTGCCTCTTGGTGGGACTGGTAGTTATCACTAATTTGAGACTACTTTTTTTAAAATTAATTAATTTTTATTTATTTGGTTACACTGGGTCTTAGTTACAGCACGTGGGCTCCTTAGTTGTGGCATGCGAACTCTTAGTTGCGGCATGCATGTGGGACCTAGTTCCCTGACCAGGAATCAAACCTGAGCCCCCTGCATTGGGAGTGCAGAGTCTTACCCACTGTGCCACCAGGGAAGTCCCAAACTTGAGACTACTTTTTAAAAAAATATTTTATTATGAAACTTTCAGGGGACTTCCCTGGTGGTTCATTGGATAGACTCTGCACTCCCAATGCAGAGGGCAAGGGTTCAATCCCTGGTCGGGGAACTAAGATCCCTCATGCCACACGGCATGGCCAAAAAAAAAAAAAGATAAACAAGTGTGAATAAAATACAATTAAAAAATTTTTATTATGAAACTTTCAAATATACACAAAAGTAGAGAGAGTAGTTTAATGAATCTCAATGTATTCATCACCCAGTTCAAAACAATTATCACTATTTTACCAGTAACCTTTGTAATTACTTTTGAGTTTTATCCTTTGAGCCTCTTCTTTTCTTTCCCTAATACACAGGTCTTTGAATTCTACAGGAGACATTTGGGAAAACTTTTCACTTATGAATTTTCCTTGTTCCATTGGTCCAGCTTGCAGGTAAGTGCTAATGATAAGTGCATGCTGTTGGAGATAGTAGGCACTGGTTCAGCATGTCCAGAAGTGCTGCGGCACTTCTCAGACTGCACACCAGTCACCTGGGGGTCATGTGAAATTACAAATTCGGACTACATAGCTCTGGAATGGGGTCTGAAATTCTGCATTTCCAAACAGACTTCTAGGTAATGCCAGTGGTGCTGGTCTGAGAAAAAGCTTTGAGCAGGGAAGTGTTCTTAGAAGGTAAAACCTTGATATTTTGGATACAGACGATAAGAAATATCTGATAAGAAAGAAGGAAGCTAAGTAATGCCTGAGGTTCCTTCCAGCACTTAAATTCTTTGAGTCTTTGTTCCTAACCTCTAGCAATTGCAGAAGTAACTAAGCACAATGACTTCACTCCTACTTCTAGGAAGAAGCAAGCTTGAATTAAAGACTTGAAACCCCTGCATAAAATTGCAGTACATTTGTTCCAGTTCCTCCTATATAATCAACAATCCTAGTGTCGAGTTCGAGGCAATGGAAGCACTGCCCAGACTGTCACACAGATTTTTCCTTACCTTTTAAAATGTTTGTTTCTGTAGGCAGGCAGATGTATAGTTAAAGCACAGATGAACCAGTCTGTGGAGGTGTGACCCAAGAATTTTTAATTCTCTAAGCACTGAGGTGACAGTTCGTTATAGTCCCGAGAAATGAGAGGAGTGGTTAGAAAGTTCCAAAATATTTGCTCATGCTTTCACCTTAGATTATCATGTTGGTGTGGAATTTGGTCAATCAGCCACCACATATTAAGCATCTACTATGTGGACAAACAGGACAGAAACATCCTAGTGGTAGAGGAGACAGAAAATAAACATGCAAACAAATAACTAAGACAATTTCAGATACTGAGACATGTTCTAAAGAATTGAAACAGACCCTGCTTTTCCTTGTTTCAGGCTTTACCTCCTTTTTTTTCTTTCTCCTTTCCTTTCCTTTTTTTCCCCTTTCTGTCAGTCCTTCCCATGAACTTAATTAGCATTAGATGATTGAGAAGGCTTACAAAGATAGCTCTCAAAAGAACCCTTTCAACTGCTACCAAAATAAGACTACACCAGCAATTACAAGAAAGAGGCATGAATATCCCAATATATCCCACCCTTTTAAACTGCAGTGTTTTGCAGCAGTTACAGATAAAGAAAATTGCAGCTTGGGACAGTACCATAACCATATACCCCTTTCTGCTTTTGCCTTATAAAAACTCCAATTCTGCTTCAGCTCAGGGAGTTAGCTAATTTTGAGGTGCTACCTGACACGCATCAGCTGAATATCTGAATTACTTTATTTTTTAGTTCCTTGACAGAATATAAAAGAGACCATTTTAAGGGGGAGAGACTGCTTTACTTGGGATGGTCAGGGAAAATGTCTCTGAGGAGGATTCATTTGAATCGAAAGTAAATAATAATAAGGTCAGCTTGAGATAATTTGGGGTAGAATGTTCTAAGCAGGAACCACACATACAAAGTCCAGGAAATTTGGTAGAAAGTGGAGAACATGGATGCAGGTGAGTGAATGAGGAGAGAAGGGCCACGTAGGTTGGAAACCCCTGGAGGTTTCTGTTTTGTTTGTTTTAACAGCTTTATTAAGACATAATTCAGAGAATTCCCTGGCGGTCCAGTGGTTGGGACTCCGCACTTTCACTGCCAAGGGTCCAGGTTCAATCCCTGGTCAGGGAACTAGGATCCCGCAAGCTGCACGGCGAAAAAAAACAGACATAATTCATATACGATTCACCCATTTAAAGTGTACAATTCAACGTTTTTTAATATGTTCACAGAATTGTGCAACCATCACCACCATCAAGTTTAGAACATTTTCATCACCCCCAAAAGAAATCCCATAGCCATTAATATTCACTTTCTACCTTCACACCCCGCTCTCACCCCCAGCCCTAGGCAACTACTAATATATTTTCTGTCTGTATGAATATGCCTATTCTGGCCATTTCATGTAAATGGAATAATACAATATATAGTCTTCTGTGACTGACTTTTTTCACTTAGCATAATGTTTATCCATTTTTATGGATAAAACATCCATAAGGTTTATCCATGTTGTAGCATGTATCAGTGCTTCATTCCTTTTCATGCGGAATAGTATTACACTGTATAAATATGCTACTTGTGTTTATCCATCCATTGGTTGATGAACATTTGGGTTGTTTCCACTTTTTGGCTATTATGAATAATGTTGCTATGAACATTCACATACAAGATTTTGTATGCAAGCGTGGGTAAAAGGTTGCATTTCTCTTGGGCACATAACTAGGAGTGAGATTGCTATTTCATATGGCGACTCTATGTTTAACCTTTTGAGGAACTGCCGAACATTTATTATCTTTTTATTTCAGCAATCTTAGTGGGTATCTCATTGTGTTTGCTTATGTACTGTTTTTTTTTTACAGTTTTATTAAGATATAATTGACATATAGCACTGTATAATTTTTATTTATTTAAATTGAAGTATAGTTGATTTACAGTGTTGTGTTAGTTTCACGTGTACAGCAAAGTGATTCAGTTACACATATATACATTTAAATTAGGTTATTTATCTTTTTATTGTTGAAGTGTAACAGTTCTTCATATATTCCAGATACAAGTTCCTTATCAGATATATGACTTGCACATATTTTCTCCCATTCTGCAGGTTGTCTTTTCACTTTCTTGATGGTGTCCTTTGAAACACAAAAGTTTTTAATTTTAATTAAGTTCAACATCTCTTTTTTCGTTAGTTGAATGTGCTTTTAATGTCATACCCTAGAAACCACTGCCTAACCAAGAGTCGTGAAGACTTACTTCTATGTTTTCTTCTCAGAGTTTTATAGTCTTAGCTCTTACATAAGAGGCCTATGATAATAGATAATAGTTAATTTTTGTATATGGTGTGAGGTAGAGGTCCAACTTCATTCTCTTACATATGGATATCAAATTGTCCTAGCACCATTTGTTGAAAAAACTATTCTTTCCTGGTGGCACAGTGGTTAAGAATCCACCTGCCAGTGCAGGGGACGTGGGTTCGAGCCCTAGTCCAGGAAGATCCCACATGCCGCAGAGCAACTAAGCCCGTGCGCCACAACTACTGAGCCTGTGCTCTAGAGCCTGCAAGCCACAACTACTGAAGCCCGCCTAGAGCCCGTGCCCTGCAACAAGAGAAGCCACCGCGGTGAGAAGCACACGCACCACAAGCAGAGTAGCCCCCACTCGCCGCAACTAGAGGAAGCCCACTCACAGCATCAAAGACCCAACGCAGCCAAAAATAAAGAAATAAAAATAAGTACATTTATAAAAAACAAAAAGAAAAACACTATTCTTTCCTCATTGTATCGTCTTGGCACCCTTTCAAGGATCATTTGACCATTTATGCATGGATTGATTGATCTATTCCATTGATCTATTTGTCTGTCTTCATACTACTACTACATTGTCTTTTTTTTAAAAATAAATTTATTTACTTATTTTTCAGCTGCGTTGGGTCTTCGACACTGTGCATGGGCTTTCTGTAGTAGCGGTGAGCAGGGACTACTCTTTGTTGTGGTGCGTGTGCTTCTCACTGCGGTGGCTTCTCTTTGTTGCGGAGCACAGGCTCTAGGCACATGGGCTGCAGTAGTTGTGGCTCATGGGCTCTAGAGCACAGGCTCAGTAGTTGTGGTGCACGGGCTTATTTGCTCCGTGGCACGTGGGATCTTCCCGGACCAGGATTCGAACCCATGTCCCCTGCATTGGCAGGTGGATTCTTAACCACTGCCCCACCAGGGAAGTCCCCACATTGTCTTAATTTCTGTAGCTCTGTAGTAAATTTTGAAATCAGAACTTTGTTTTTTCCCACAGTATTTTAGTATCAGCTTGTCAGTTTCTGCAAAAAAAAGCCACCTGGGATTTTGATAGGGATTACAATGAATCTGTAGATGAGCTTGGGGAGTATTACCCTTTTAACAGTATTAATTCTTCTTCTCTATGAACATAGGATATTTTTCCATTTATTTAGATCTTTTTATTTCTTTCAACAGTTTTTTATACTTTTCAATATACAGGTTTTACACTTCTTTTGTTAAATTTATTACTAAGTACTTTATTTTTGATGCTATTGTAAATTAAATTGTTTTTTGAATTTCATTTTTGAATTGTTTGCTAGTATGTAGAAGTAGAATTGGTGTTTGTTTATTCATCTTGTATCCTGCAACCTTGCTAAACTCCTCTATTAGTTCTAATATTTTTTTAGTGGATTCCTTAGGATTTTCTATATATAAGATAATGTTATCTGCAAATAAAGATCATTTTACTTCTTCCTTTTCGATCTGTATGCCATTTCTTTCTTGGTCAATTGCCCTGGATAGAATCTCCAATATATTATTGAATAAAAGGGTGAGAATGGACATCCTTGTCTTGTTCCTGGTCTTGTGGGGGGAAGTATTCATTTCTTCACCATTATGATATTAGCTGTGAGTTTTTTATAGATGTCCTTTGTTTCAGTTTAAGGAAGTTCCCTTCTATTCTTAGGTTACTGAGTATTTTTAATCATGAAACGCTTTTGGATTTTTGTCAAATGCTTTTTTTTTTTTCCTTGCACCTATTGAGATAATCAAATGGTTTTTGTCCTTTATTCTATTAATGTGGTGCATTAAATTAATTGATTTTCCAATGTAAAATCAACCTTGCATTCCTAGGGTAATTCCCACTTAGTTATGGTGTATAATTCTCTTTATATACTACTGCATTCAGTTGACTAGTATTTGTTGAGGCTTTTGTGTCCATATTCATAAGAGATATTGGTATGTAGGTTTTTTTGGTAACATGTCTTTCTGGTTTTTGTATCAGTAAACTGGCTTCATAGAACGAATTGAGAAGTGTTTCCTCCTCTCCTATATTTTGGAAGAGTTTGAGAGGATTCATATTAATTCTTTAAATGTTTCGTGAAATTCACCAGTAAAGTCATCTGGGCTTGGGATTTTCTTTGGGGGAAGTTTT